TGAAGTCTCAAGTTGTCCGTGACTCCTTCAATCCATATTCTTCTTGGTCTTCCCCTGCCTCTTGGTGTTTCGATTTTCATGTTGTATGCTCTTGATGCTGGCATCGTTGGTTCCATTCTCATTAGGTGACCAAACCATTTCATTCTTTTCTTCTCAATAAATTTAACGATGGGTATGGTTCCAATAGTTCTTGTAATCACATCGTTTCTCACTCGATCTCTTCTGGTTTTATTCGCAGCCATTCTCAAACATCTCATTTCACAGGTGGTTAGTCTTCTCTCGTGTTCTTTTGTTAATGTCCAAGTCTGACATTGATAACCTAATGTCGGTATAAAGATAGTATTTATAATTTGTCTTTTTATCTCAGCTGGGACAGCAGGGTGTTTTAAAATTGGGGCAAGCTGGTATGCGACATTGTTGGCTTGTTGGATTCTTGCTTCAATCTCTCTGTCTATTTTACCATTGAATGTAAAGATACTTCCCAAGTATTTAAATTCTTGCACTTGTTTTAGGGTGTGATCTAGAATCTTTATGTCGATGGTCTGTTGCTCTCTACTTATGCTCATGACTTCTGTCTTTTCAGTATTGATCTTCATATGATGCTTGAGGCAACTGTCGTGTAGTAGGTTTATGTGGTCTTGCAGCTGTTTACTATCACTGTGAAATATGCATTGATCGCCAGCAAAGAGCAGCTCATTGAAGTCCTCCTGTTTATCGACATCTGTTGGTGTTATTTCTATTTTATTAATATTGTCCATAAATATTATGAAAAGTAAAGGTGATAATACACAACCTTGTCTTACTCCTGATGTTACTGGGAACCAGTCTATGAGCAATTCATTTTAATTAATGAACAGATAATTCAAACCATGAAAAGCTCTGTCGTCGAGTTATTGAACATTTACATTCAAGTTAATGAACAGGTTATAGAAATTATTTATATTTTTGTCAAGTTAATGAAAGGTTAATTCAGGCTACTGAGAAACAAATTAAAATGGATTACAGAGAAAACGAATTTGTCAAGACCACGCGAAAAAGACTAATGAAATGCATGGATCGTATGAGCAGAAAAAGTGGAAAACAAATGTTAATATTATGTTGGAAAACACTGAACAAGAGAATCAGGGAACTATGTATGGGATGTTTTAACCTTATATGTCTGGCCAACAAGTCATGTAACTGCAATATCAGATCAAGACACTGAAAGTGGTTTTGTCGTTTTTTTTTTTTTTTTTTACTTATGATTACAAAAACTCTTTTTAAGGTCAATATTTTTGTATAATTATTATTAATAAAGACGATATGAAAGCTTTGTTTGAGATTGAAACTGGACTGTTTGACTTCTTTACAACTTAACGCCTGTTTGTCTGTCTATTGAGTCATTCTGTTTATCCTCTTAAAGAACTTACAAATAAATCTACATAAAACTAATGTAGCTATCTCTATGCATGCTGATACGATAGATGACATCTGGCCACAGTTGATAGTTTTCTGGCATACCCCTCCCTCCCATCTAAGCACTCGCGATCACACATCACCCAACGGGTCACCAGTATTGGGACACGCCCACTGACAACAGGCGGGCCGCCCCTGACAGAGTTACAAATAGACAGGAACATCTTTCTTGGGCAGATGGTCGGGAATCTCAGTTGGTGTGATCATCTGGTAGATTCTCTGAAAGTGTAATATAATCATCGTCAACTATAGAAATGTATGTCAGGGTGTCTGTTTGTCTGATTGTCTGTCTTTCAAATTATTAGTCTTTCGGTCTGTTGGTCTGTGTACATTTACACTGCTCCCATTTACGCTGTTTCACTTAATTCCAAAATTAAATGAAACAAAAGGTAGTTGGGTTGTCTGATATATAAGTAAACATTGATGTTTTTCTGATGGCAGGCACCAGTACACAATAACGGAGAAGCACTGGTTAAGTAATTAGATAATATTAAATTCTCATTTTCTTATACTGGATTATTCCATGTACCCCTCGGGCTCAAGCACGTGCAGGGTTGCTTCTTCCACATCCAAGGCGATCTTGTCGTATGCCCATTTGTCAGACCAGATCAGGTCTTGGAGACGAGAAAGCAAAAGCTGGCAGGCTGTCAGACTATCCTGGGTTCATGCTGGCGCTATAATTTTTCTTTGGCTTATGATATACCTTACTGAGCCTAGTAACTAGCATTGGTTATTGACATTTTGTTGAAGAGTTTATTACTGTCCCTGTTATAGAAGAGCCTGATAGTTGTAGCATTTGGTTGTTTTGTTTTGTCAGGTACTGCATTTGCTTTCAGTGAAGTTTGCATAGCTGATAGTTGGTTGATTTTTACTTGCTTATAAAAGGAAGTAGTTTTGCTTTAGTTGAAATACCTACCAAGTGGTTTAATTAGCTTGTCCCTGCTGCTGTAGTTGTCTTAGATAGCATTAGTTGACTTCTGGTTTCTTAAGTAGAACACTCTATTTACCATTACTAGGGTTGCAGATACGCACTGGGGTCTCTGTCGCGGCAAGGTGTTTCCATTTCTCTCACCCCATCTCTGTCTTGAAGTCAAAGGGACATCTTTTTGACTTTTCGTCTTTCCACTTCTCTCATAGCTACTTTTTACTTCCTTGTCCTTAATATCCCTGTTGTTTTAAGTGCGACCTCGACGATATTGTGCAATGATTCTCCAGGTAGCTATGGCGAGAGGAGACAGCTTGATGAGCTGCTAACTAAGTATGTCACGTGGTTTAATAGCGATGAGGCCGATATTACTTTTACTGACAGGGCGATTCACAGTATCTACCTGACTTATGACACTCCACTAATCACACCCCACTGATGTCAGTCCACTGATGACACCCCACTGATGACACCCCACTGATGTCACCCCACTGATGACACCCCACTGATGTCACCCCACTGATGACCCCCCCCCCCACTGGTGACACCCCACTGATGTCACCCCACTGATGTTACCCCACTGATGACCCCCTACTGGTGACACCCCACTGATGTCACCCCACTGATGACACCCCACTGATGTCACCCCACTGATGACACCCCACTGATGACACCCCACTGATGTCACCCCACTGATGACACCCCACTGATGTCACCCCACTGATGACACCCCACTGATGACACCCCACTGATGACCCCCCACTGGTGACACCCCACTGATGACACCCCACTGGTGACACCCCACTGATGACCCCCAACTGATGACCCCCCACTGATGACACCCCACTGGTGACACCACACTGATGACCCCCCACTGATGACACCCCACTGGTGACACCCCACTGGTGACACCCCACTGATGACCCCCCACTGGTGACACCCCACTGATGACACCCCACTGATGACCCCCCACTGGTGACACCCCACTGATGTCACCCCACTGATGACACCCCACTGATGACACCCCACTGGTGACACCCCACTGATGACCCCCCACTGGTGATACCCCACTGATGACCCCCCACTGATGACACCCCACTGATGACCCCCCACTGATGACACCCCACTGGTGACACCCCACTGATGACACCCCACTGATGACCCCCCCACTGGTGACACCCCACTGAAGACACCCCACTGATGACCCCCACACTGATGACACCCCACTGATGACACCCCACTGGTGACACCCCACTGATGACACCCCACTGATGACCCCCCACTGGTGACACCCCACTGATGCAACCCTACAGACAAATTCCACCAGCCTTCTACGGAAAAGTCCAGGGCCACATCCAAGATCTCTTTGACAAGCATATAATTTATTGAGAGCTCTAGTCCTTGGGCCTCTTATGAGGTGCTGGTTAGGAAGAAATATGGTAGTCTAAGACTGCGTTTCGGGTAAAGAGCACTGCATAGGGTGACAAAAAAAGGTGTTTACCCCTCCATAGACTTGATGAATGTGTCGATGCTTTAGATGGGGAACAGTTGTTTCTATTCTTAGATCTGGCTAGTAGATACTACCAAGTGGCCATGAGGCCAAAAGAAATGGGAAGACTTTACTACCCAGTTCGGCCTCTATGAGTACAAGTGTATCCCAATAGGATGAGCCAATTCGACGAGCAAGTTCCAAAGACTGATACATGGGGTTTTTTTAAACCTTGTTAACGGTGTATTTAGAGACATAAGGGTATCTTCCGAAGAATGTGGAGACTATTTGAATAAATTAGTTTTTCAGAGACTGCAGGCATCAGGGCTGTTTCAGAGATTGTAACCATTAAGGCTGTAGTTGAACCCAGCCAAATATAAATGTTGTAACTCCTAAATTCAATGTTTAGAGCACACTGTGATTATTCCCGACAGGGAACATGTTTGCAAAGTTATTAGAGAGTAAGACCTTTTGTGGAGCAGCACATTAAAGCACATCACATTTTGGTTTCAGGAAAGGACAAAGTGCCTTGTTTACGCAGAGACAAGTATGCGAGAAAAGCATTGAATATATTACTATAAGCTGAATATTGGGATTGAAGATCAAGGGTGTTGAGTATTTACTAAGAGAGAGAAAAGCCCAATGCATGGGTAGGTAGATATTCGGACAGCTAAGTGAGTAGATAAGTAATGAGCCTTTAGTAGGTAAGAAGGTTGGTGGTTAGGCTGGTGGGTACGAAAGTTGGCTAGTAGTCAGGAAAGTACATTAGTAGGTTTGCTGGTAGATACATATGTAGGTATGTAAATATGTTGGTGTCTTTATACTTGGTGTCTAGGTTAGTAAACAAGTAAAAATACAGGTGGTGGATGGGTAATTGTTTAGATTATTAGGTGTGAATGTAGGTAGTAATCTGTTTGTAAACTGATGTTGAATAAATGGTTACTAGCTTCAGGTGTCATTAGCGATGCCATTTTAATTTGATCTATAATGATGAAGGTACAGTTTTGCCTTCATTCGATCAATCATGAAGACTTACAGGTGGGCAGACAGACGTACGGATAACCGAACATGTTGAAAGAGAGAGACACGTGGATAGTAAAACAGGTACTGGGACACACACAGATGACTCACCTCTTTGAGCGTTCCCTTGGTACGGACAAAAGTCAGGACGATGAACACAGGTATACAGGAAATAGAGATGCAAACCAGGAACCAACCGATGGTCAGTGACCAGTAGGGGTACACGTAGTCCCCATACGACGGAGGCGGCGAGTTGGTGATGGACAACGTGAACAACAGCTAGGGAGGGACAGAAACATTAAAGCAGTGTGACGCATATAAAGGTAACGTGACGCAGATAAAAACAACGTGGTGCTGATATAGAAAGCGTGACGCCTACAGATAGCGTGACGCGGATACATATAACGTGACAGCGTGCCGAAGATATATACATGTGCAACAGACATAAATAATATAACACAAATATGAATAATGTGCTGTAGATATAGACAGCCTGACCAGGATATTCACAACATGACGCAGATTTAGATTTGATAGTCAGAGACAATTGGTGGTTTGATGACTGGCTCAATGTTTGGTGGGATGTTTGGTGGGATGTTTGGTGGGATGTTTGGTGGGATGTTTGCTGGAATGTTTGGTGGGATGTTTGGTGGGATGTTTGGTGGGATGTATGGTGGGATGATTGCTGGGATGTTTGGTGGGATGTTTGGTGGGATGTTTGATGGGATGTTTGGCGGGATGTTTGTTTGGTGGGATGATTGGTGGGATGTTTGGTGGGATGTTTGGTGGGATGTTTGGTGGGATGTTTGGTGGAATGTTTGGTGGGATGTTAGGTGGGATGTTTGGTGGGATGTTTGGTGGGATGTTTGGCGGGATATTTGGTGGGATGTTTGGTGGGATGCTTGGTGGGATGTTTGGTGGGATGATTGATGGGATATTTGGAGGGATGTTTGGTGGGATGTTTGGTGGATGCTTGGTGGGATGTTTGGTGGGATGCTTGGTGGGATGTTTGGTGGGATGTTTGGTGGATGCTTGGTGGGATGTTTGGTGGGATGCTTGGTGGGATGTTTGGTGGGATGCTTGGTGGGATGTTTGGTGGGATGCTTGATGGGATGTTTGGTGGGATGCTTGGTGGGATACTTGGTGGGATCTTTGGTGGGATGCTTGGTGGGATGTTTGGTGGGATGCTTGGGGGGATGCTTGGTGGGATGTTTGGTGGGATGCTTGGTGGGATGTTTGCTGGGATGCTTGGTGGAATGTTTGGTGGGATGTTTGGCGGGATGCTTGGTGGGATGCTTGGTGGGATGTTTGGTGGGATGTTTGGTGGAATGTTTGGTGGGATGCTTGGCGGGATGTTTGGTGGGATGCTTGGCGGGATGTTTGGTGGGATGTTTGGTGGGATGTTTGGTGGGATGCTTGGTGGGATGTTTTGGTGGGATGCTTGGTGGGATGTTTGGTGGGATGATTGGTGGGATGTTTGGTAGAATCTTGGTGGGATGTTTGGGGGGATGCTTGGTGGGATGTTTGGTGGGATGCTTGGTGGGATGTTTGGTGGGATGCTTGGTGGAATGTTTGGTGGGATGCTTGGTGGAATTTTTGGTGGGATGTTTGGCGGGATGCTTGGTGGGATGTTTGGTGGGGTGTTTGTTTGGTGGGATGATTGGTGGGATGTTTGATGGAGTGATTGGTGGGATGATTGGCGGGATGTTTGGTGGGATGCTTGGCGGGATGTTTGGTGGGATGTTTGGTGGGATGTTTGGTGGGATGTTTGGTGGGATGTTTGGGGGGATGCTTGGTGGGATGTTTGGTGGGATGCTTGGTGGGATGTGTGGTAGGATGCTTGGTGGAATGTTTGGTGGGATGCTTGGTGGAATGTTTGGTGGGATGTTTGGCGGGATGCTTGGTGGGATGCTTGGTGGGATGTTTGGTGGGGTGTTTGTTTGGTGGGATGATTGGTGGGATGTTTGATGGAGTGATTGGTGGGATGATTGGTTGGACAGTTGATTAATCCACTAGGAAACTCAGTTTTAACTGTGCAGTCCACTCCATGCGCATTCAGGGCATCTGACTCATGGAGTTTGAATCTCTTGCAGTAAATTAGGTGAGCTCATTTTATCCTGATAAGTAACTTAGTTGTAGGTAATGAGTTGCAGAGCTTTACCAAGTCACTTGGTCATGGTTCAAGATACAGAGAGGCTGGCTGTGAGTTCTGGGGCTCCATTTAGAGAGAAATAAGAACAGACTCACCAACGAACTAACAAACACGTTGTGAAAGGCGACCAATTTTGGGTGTTTCTTTTGAAGTCAGAGTGCTTCTGTCTGAGAGGCGGGGAACCAAGTGTCCGCGAACAAATAAACCAGATCTGTAAAACAGATGTGCACGCAAAATTCAATTTATGTAACAAGACCCGAATTGGACGAACAAGCATCCCTTTCCACCATGGTTAACAATGGCTGGCTGACTGAATGGCTGGCTGAGTGAATGGCTGGCTGAGTGAATGGCTGGCTGACTGAATGGTTGAATAACTGACCTGACTGGGTTAAGGAATGATTGAAGGACTGACTCGCTTAAGGAATGAGTGACTGACTGACTGGCAGTTTGTCCCCTTATGGCTGCTACCTAGAGGTTTGACTACTCCTGCAGCTCAGAGAGACGTATTCTGGATGGCAATCCAATAGGGTACATTGCAAATACCCAGTTCAATTCCCTATAAAGATATAATTAGTCTAGTCTACTTGCAATAGTTACAGCACACATCCCTCCTACTAAGTTCGTTCCGAATGATCCACAAAATATGCTAGCTGAGACGTGAGAGCAGTTGATGAAGACAACTTGATTCTGTCTTTTCAGCAGCCTGAAAACCTAGCAATATGGCTGAAGGCACTGTATAGTTTTACATGTACATCCAGCTGCTGAAGGCACTGTATAGTTTTACTTGTACATTCTGCTGCTAAAGGCACTGTATAGTTTTACATGTACATCCAGCTGCTGAAGGCACTGTATAGTTTGACATGTACATCCAGCTGCTGAAGGCACTGAATAGTTTGTACATTCTGCTGCTGAAGGCACTGTATAGTTTTACATGTACATCCAGCTGCTGAGAAGCCAAGGACAGATTCCGTGTGGCAGAACGAGCTTCCAGACCACTGTCAGGCTGGTTGTAAGGAAGAGTTGAGGTGCCCCGAGGAAGGTCTTGGTGACTGGTACAGTGCCAGCCTTCCACGTCAAAGTTGGGTGAAGATCCCCTGGGAAACCCCAGGTGGTAGTTGTTGTTTGTTCCAGAACATTCTCATAAACTCTTGTGTCGACAGCTTCATGTGACTATCACTTTTGTTCCATCATATCTATTTAGTTTGAGGGTTGTATTTCGAAAGTACTAAACAACTGATATTGACTTTATTTTAATAAACATATCTATGATTGATTAATTTTCGTAGTTAACTATTCTCCTCAGCTAACTAGTCCATACCATTTCTAGATGGGGACTTACTTTAATGACCAGAAAGGAACAGGAGTGAGGATTTAAACCTACACCCACCACCACCATAGTGAGTAAAAGAGAAACCAATTCCACGACTGACGGCCTCATAACGTTGTCAACCCTGCAGTCCCGTGTGGGAAAAGGGAAGCTGGAGAATTACATTCCAATTGTGTAGAAGTAATGGCGGTCAAACCTGCAGCAGTTTTAGACATTCAGTTGTTTCTAAGCTCATTAAGCTAGCTATAATAAATGTTTATCATAGTCTGATTCCATTTTTAACAATTTTGATCAAGATTTTTTTTTGAACTGGTATTGACGTATTTTCAAATCCATAACCTAAGAATACTGTCTTTTAAACCATAAAGACATGAATACTATAATATAATTGAGTCGTGACTGACATACACAAACAATTCAAGCCACAAGATCAGACTGACCAGTAAGAAAACTGGACTGATGTATGTCCAGGTGATTCTCCAGAATGGCCCGGGAGGCGAGCCTAGCATGGACTCGATGTCTTTGCTGAACCTGTCCACACCTGGAAAAAACATGCAATACATCAGAGTAATTCTTCTTCTTCTTCTTCTTCTTCTTCTTCTTCTTCTTCTTCTTCTTCTTCTTCTCTTCTTCTTCTTCTTCTTCTTCTTCTTCTTCTTCTTCTTCTTCTTCTTCTTCTTCTTCTTCTTCTTCTTCTTCTTCTTCTTCTTCTTCTTCTGCTTCTTCTTCTTCTTCTTCTTCTTCTTCTTCTTCTTCTTCTTCTTCTTCTTCTTTCTTCTTCTTCTTCTTCTTCTTCTTCTTCTTCTTCTTTCTTCTTCTTCTTCTTCTTCTTCTTCTTCTTCTTCTTCTTCTTCTTCTTCTTCTTCTTCTTCTTCTTCCTTCTTCTTCTTCTTCGTCTTCTTCTTTCTTCTTCTTCTTCTTCTTCTTCTTCTTCTTCTTCTTCTTCTTCTTCTTCTTCTTCTTCTTCTTCTTCTTCTGCTTCTTCTTCCTTCTTCTTTTTCTTCTTCTTCTTCTTCTTCTTCTTCTTCTTCTTCTTCTTCTTCTTCTTCTTCTTCTTCTTCTTCTTCTTCTTCTTCTTCTTCTTCTTCTTCTGCTTCTTCTTCCTCTTCTTCTTCTTCTTCTTCTTCTTCTTCTTCTTCTTCTTCTTCTTCTTCTTCTTCTTCTTCTTCTTCTTCTTCTGCTTCTTCTTCCTTCTTCTTCTTTTTCTTCTTCTTCTTCTTCTTCTTCTTCTTCTTCTTCTTCTTCTTCTTCTTCTTCTTCTTCTTCTTCTTCTTCTTCTTCTTCTTCTTCTGCTTCTTCTTCCTTCTTCTTTTTCTTCTTCTTCTTCTTCTTCTTCTTCTTCTTCTTCTTCTTCTTCTTCTTCTTCTTCTTCTTCTTCTCTGCTCTTACTGCTGCCTCTCCTCAAGGGATAGGGAGCTAACGAAATGTGATGTGTTGGACTGAAAGGTGCAAATGTCACAGCCCATCTATCAACCACAATAAAACATGCCAACCGTCTTCTCAAGGGTAAAGCAGGATAATAATAATAATAATAATAATAATAATAATAACTTGCTCAATGTAGAAATGTAGTTTCAAGGGGAATATTTTTAAAATACCTCAGACAAAAAGAACCATGATCGTGATCACTCTTTGAGAAACATGAATGTATTAGACTGGTAGATAAATCAAAGCGGAACAGTCAAAATTTGTAGTGATGTGGGAAGTGGGAAACTTCAGGGGGGGGGGGGGGGGGGGGGGGGGGGGGGAGAGAGAAAAGAGAGAAAAAGGAGGGGGAGGGGAAGAACACAGATTAATGGTGGTTGTGGTTGTCAACGTGAATTGATTTTCAGGGTGTTGTTGTTGTTGATGATGATTATTGGATGATGATGATTGTCATGATCGGGGTAGGAAAGGAGATTAGGGGAATGTGGGACTGCTAGCAAAGCACTGAACATGTGTGAATGTCATGGTGTGCACACGGGTCACAGAAGTCACGTGAACCACCTGAAGTAAGAAAAAGTGAGCTCGGGTTGTGAACCGCCTGGGGGACAGTCGTCGACCGGACCTCCTAGCGGACAGTCTGGACAACTGCAATGTGGCCATGCTGCTTGAATAGTGGTTTTAGTTATTGAGTTAGATAGGAGTTAGAAAATGTGTTGAATTATTTAGAAAGATGTAGAAATGAAAGAATAATAAAGGTAGAAGTAACGGAGCTCAACATGTTGTCTCTACGTCAGACGTTCTCGTGTGGATTGTGACCACGTTCTGATAAGTTTGTTCTTGTTGTCGTCATGGCCGTGATGGCAGTGTTAACGGGTTTTGAGTCTTATCAACACTGAACTATATGTCAGCCCTCACAACTCTTGGTACTTATCAAGCTCAGGGGTCCGGCTCTCTGGGTAGTTGGCCAAACCATATTGCGCGGTGACCGAGTAACGAACTCCTTGTGGTCCGGGTTCACTCCCGGGGGTAGGCAGAAAAGCCACAATTCTCCGAGATTTACTGTATTTACAATGGAATCAAGGCCGAAAGGTTGCGATATCCATAATACCGAGCCTAAGGGTTAACAACTCATAGCTTCTGGATACTAAAACAAACAAACAGCAAACAACATCAAACTCAGGGAGTCGGAGGCGAATATGAGAAGTACAAGTGAGCACGTCTGTCAGTGCATGAAGGGACTTTATAAACACGAGCTTTGACCTTGCCACCCGCCTCTCGACCCCTGACAATGATAATGTGAGGTGAATGATGACATAAGCTGTGTTTGTAGTGTGCTGATAATAAGGAAGTCTCACCGTAGATCCATGACACCGCAACAGCCTCCAGGAAGACAATCAGCAGGATGGAGATTGGTGGCCCGTAGGTGTCCAACAGCTGCACCACATAGATACCCCCCTGTGGAAAAAGTGTCGAGTCAAAACTTCTCCTGGTATCTGTGTTAAGCTGGGCAGGTCTAGTCAAGTTACGTCATCAGGCTTCATCTGTGTGTGTGTGTGTGTGTGTGTGCATGAGTTTGTGTGTGTGTGCATGAGTTCGTGAGTGCGTGTGTGTGTGTACTAAATTTATTTGTCCGACTTCGCCCGAAATAAGGAAAGAAAGTGTTATTTTCATCCTGGTCTTCACCGCTGACGTAAATGACGTGGAGGCGCCATGGAGGATCCATTACAACATGAGCCTTCCCGTCTTCACGTTTCTCTTCAACTTCTTGTTTTATAAACGATTCAATGTCCCACTGCTGTGCGTCTCTGGTGATTCTCTGAATTTTTGTAGCAAACAATTTTTTACATATTGTGGGAGAGCTGGCTCCAGAGTCACACGGCCCATGGTGAAGTGGTAGGAGCATCCTAGACTAGTTATTTCCATAGTTAACGCTACCGCCATCTTAGCGCTCCTTAGCAGTGCTGGGGGTACTTAGTGTTACAATTAGCATGCTAGCAGTTTCCCAAGTCTGATGGATAAAGCAACAACCTCTTCCAACCCCCCTAACTTACAGTATACGTTTCAAAGGAGACATCAGCAAAATAAAATTTTAAAAAATTCATGTACGGGATGTAAGACGAAAACTATTCAAACAGATATAACTCCAGCGGAGGTTTAATTTTACTGACTGACGCAGAAATAAAACAAGTGCACAACAACCTGGCCGCCAATGTGACTGTTAAATTAAACACTGCAGCCATAATGGCAACTGAAAATTTAACTCATGTACCGGTCACGGTTTGGGAAAAGTTAACAGTTCATTTATAACGAATACATGAAACACATAAAGGGTTTGTGATTTATAGTATATTATACATATGTATGTGTGCGTGTGTGTGTATGTGTGTCTTTGTGTGTGTGTGTGTGTGTGTGTGTGTTGAATACGCCCCAATATGGGAACAATTTTTGTTGTTATTTCAAAGCCCCACCCGGCTATCGCCAGGAGCCCTAAATATAACGGGGGTTTGGAACTTGCGCCCGTTCGATATTCATACGAATGATGGCACTTAGGGTCAGAGTGTGCTTATTGCTCTCTCTCTCTCTCTCTCTCTCTCTCTCTCTCTCTCTCTCTCTCTCACCTCTCTCTCTCTCTCTCACACACCTCTCTCTCTCTCTCTCTCTCTCTGCGGTCCTGGTGGTGTTAAACGTCACTTACTATACAGTGTGTGAGTGAGTGCGTGCGTGCGTATATGTGTGTGCGAGTGTGCGTGCCTATTTGCATGACAAAAAGTTCGTTGTCTACAAGATCAAGACTTACATATGTAGTGGTCACCAGTGAACCGGTGAAGCACCAAACCATGAGTCCAGCCACAAAAAGTTCCCGGTGTCGACGTAGAAATGTCCACTCGTCAAGTGTTCCAGTGATAATGGCTTCCAGACCACCGAACTGTGGGGGTGAAGAAAACAAAAGATGATAACTGTGTGAAGCAAATGGAGATAACGTGATCTGACCAGTTCAGCCATCAGATACCCTTTGGCTTTTGCACTGAATAAATTACTGGATCTCCCTGGCAGACTGCTACCTGAAAGTTTTACGCTCCTGAAACCCGAAGAGACCCACGCTGACGCCACCCTGACGCCCCACCAGCAGGATCAATCATATATACCGTGTTCAGCCTCCTAAAACTCAATAATTATAGCATCAGTAATAGCTAGACGATATCCTACAGTGCGGAATCCTGCCATTATCAACGGAGGGGAGATAACTGTCAACGGCCCTTAATTTGTATTATTTGATTACATTTCTAACAGACAGTTCGCTTTCTGTGTCCTAATTATCTCATCTTTCGGCGCATTCTGTGTCCTAATTATCTCATCTTTCGTCGCATTCTATATTTCAATTGTCTCTGTCATCGAGGTTTTTCGTTTGTCTTGTGTGTGTTATTTATTTGTTCAAAGTCTGAAGACGTGCTCTTAAAAGGGGGGGGGGGGAAGGGGAAGGGGAAGGGCAGTGTGGGTCGATGAAACTGGTATTGCTTGCTTACTCTTCCAATTTTTGTCCTAATGTCACTCCGTTATTCCGAATATCCTCCCCCCCCCCCCCACCCTTGTTTTTCTTTCTGTTCTCATTATAATCGTTTACAGTCGTCAGTTTGGCGTTTGGATCATCAGTTAGCTCCCCGCCTCTCTCTCTCTCTCTCTCTCTCTCTCTCTCTGTCTCTCTATCCCTCTCTCTTTTCCATTCGTGTTTTTTCCCTGCGTGTCTTTCTGTGTGTGGGTCTGTGTGTATGTGTGCATGTGTATGCCAGAATACCCCTCTCCTGCCTACAATCCCTATCCTCTCGTTATCGGACTTTAGAGTCTCCCGGACGAGTCGGCCAGGCGGTCACTCAGCCAGCGGTCTCCTAATTGTCCACTTCTCACCAGTTAGTGGTCACTTCAACACGTCATCTGTTTTGTCTTTTCCACCTCCTAACCAGTTTCATTCCTCCTGGTTCATCTTGTTCTTTTCTCCGGCTACTTCTCTTCTTCGTCCACACCCCTCGTCTTTCTTCTTCTTCTTCTTCTTCTTCTTTTTCTTCTTCTTCTTCTTCTTCTTCTTCTTCTTCTTCTTCTTCTTCTTCTTCTTCTTCTTCTTCTTCTTCTTCTTCTTCTTCTT